GGTGCTTCAGTCATGCCAGCCATGAATGTCTCGGGTGGCTCTGTTTTAGGCGCGGGAACAAGAGGAGCGGTAACTGCTGGGACTGGCAAGGTCTGCATAGCTTGTTCTGGGGGGCCTGGATGCGGTACTTTCGACACCTCGGTCGGAGGCTGGGGTAGGGGCAGGGTCTGCTGTTGCTGTTGCTGTTGCTGCTGCTGCTGCTGTTGCTGTTGTTGTTGCTGTTGCTGCTGCTGCTGCTGCTGAGCAGCTTTGCCTCGTCGATTGCCACGAGCACCTGTGCCAGTGCGACCACCTCGTCTGCTGGGTTTCTCACCTGGCTCACCATCCTTGCCAGCACCGCGGCGACCGTTGGAATCGGTATCAGCAGCGGATGAGTCCCCAAAAGTAGGCGCAGCGGCACGCCGCGGACGACCAGTGTCTGTGACAGGGGCGGGCTCTTCTTCGCCATCGTAATCGGGTTTGACCACACCGAGATCCTTCATGAGAGCATTGGACTTGGGCCGAGCGGATCTTCGAGCACGACCGCGGCGACTCCATCTCTTGTTCAACTTCGCCTTGTACTTGATTTCTTCCTTCGTGAGGTAATAATGAATGATACACTGCTGGAAGTCCCGTCCAGGCAGCGACTCGGCGATCTTGCCCCACTTCTTGGGGTACGCCATGAAGGCATCAGTGAATATCTCGTGTTCCTCGGGCGTAAAGTCGTTGGGAGGAGGCACGAAGCCAAAGACATCCATGGCGTTCACAGGGTCGACAGAGTTGTTGGTATCCTTGTAGATCTGCGCCTTTGCCTCCCTTGGCTCGAGCATGTCTGGGATGACGGCTTCCCGGGCGAGGTCTGGCTGCGCCGTAGCCTTGTTTCCCCGACGGCGCTCCAGTTCTTCCTGCGCAGATATTTCGGATGCACGGAGCGCGTTCTGAAAGTCGAGCTCGCTGTTACCTTTGTATCGTCTTCCCTCGGCGGCCGGAGGCGTAGGTGCAGCAGGAGGAGCTGGAGGTGTTCCAGCACCTGGAGTGGCGGACGCTCTGACCTTTGCCCGATCCAGTTCCCACACGTGCAGCCTCCAAGGCTTGTAGTACGACAAATACTCCTCGCGGAGCTCCGCGTTCTTCCGAGCAATTTCCTTCCTCCGTTTAATCAATTCTTGACTGAACACATCCTTCATACGAGCGTGTATCGCTGCATTTTCCTGGTAAACGTCAAGGTCCGATATCGGTGTAGGCGGACCAGACTGCAAGAATGGCAAGTCTTTGACAGAAATGCTATCCACTGGGGGAACTAGATCTAAAGCGAGCTTTGGTGACGTCTCGGGAGTTTCTAATTCAGCGTCTTGCTTGACCGCGACAGGTGCAGGTTCCTCTGCCTCATCTGCCGATTTGGGAACTTCGACCGCGGGAACAGGGGGAAGCGCGGCTTCGCCTGCAGGTTGCTCATTGGCAAGAACTCCTAGAAGCTGGATCTGCATTAAGAGGGAAACGATATGCGGATCTTCAAGGGGTGGAGGAGGCATTTCGGCGCGGAGCGCTTTCATGTCCTTTTCGAAGATTTGCTTCCGTTCTTCAAGGTACTCTTGTGTGAATACATCGTTCTCGTCTTCGTCTTCATCGCTTGATCGGCCAAAGTCTGGTATCAACGCGTCTTCCTGCATGGCGGGTTTGCCTTCCGGGATAACCTTCTTCTCGGGCTCGGCAACTGCTTCTGGCGCTCGTGGAGGAGTGACGTGACGAACTGCGTCAGACTCAAAAGGTTCAGGGGACATACGCGCGTCGCCCTCGATCTCCTTGTCGGGCAAGATCTCACCTGCCTCCAGTTCGTTGCCATGGTCATCGGCTGGAGCTGGTGGTTCCCGTTTGACCTCCTCGCTGATGGACAGACTTCGCTCTTTCCCATCGATGGAATCCCGTTTCGGTAGTGGTACGGCGCCAGCTCCGGTTGGGTGACGATTATAACCAGGTCGAGCCCACTGCGCTTTACCCTTCGGAGGTCCTCGGGTCGGCGTGGGTCGTTGCTGCAGGGCGCGAGGCCCTGTAGGAATGTGCAAACCGGGAGACGTCGCACCGATCGAAGGAGTGCGAGCCTTGGCCAGCTCGGGAGAGCTGACTATACTACCTGTTCTGCTGGTCAACGACACTTCTGCATGCGGTGTGCTCATTTCCTTGCCAATCATGGCCGCAGGTGCAGTCGGTGGAGAGAGTTCTGGAGTCTGCTTCCGCGCCTGGAGAGAAGGGCTGGCGTGAGTTCTGGGTGCGCGTGGTATAAAATTGTCCTTTTCGCTCGTCTCCGGGCCTTCATCGCGGCGTATCTCCTCTCGTCGAAATCTTGGTTCTGGTGGCGGTTGGACGGAGGCGCGCTCTGCTTTCGGGCCCGTGGGGGGTTGCACGGGCGCACGCGACGGAGGTTCATTGCGTTCCTTCTCCACAACTGACGGAGCAACCTCGGCCGAAGTTGTATCGACGGCCACTTTGTCTGTAGACAGATCGGGGATCGGCGCGGTGACTGAGCCAAAGGCCGGTACCTGAGGGGCTGCCGGAGGGGGTGACCGCTTGATCGGTAGTAGTGATGGTAGCTCTTTGACCGAGTCTGGGCGCGATGCAGCCAAATCAGGGCGTATCGAGTCTCGACGAGCTTCGGCCATAGAAGGCTTACGGGGCGGCTCAGCGATCGGATGGTCTGGTAATCGATCCGAGGCTGCAGGGACAGGGCCCACGGACGCGAAGGGATAGGGTCCAGAGCTAGTACGTGCATCAGCCCGAGCTGGAATTTGATCTCTTTTCCATGCTTCTGCTGGTCGGTCTCGCTCATCGCGATCGGCCCGTCTGTCCAAATCGTCGCGACGCTCGAACCGATCCCGTCGATCGATTATATCCCGTTCTCTTTCGCGGTCGCGCCTGTCAATATCCCGTTCGCGATCCCGGTCAACGATCCGTTCCCGATCGCGCTCCCGGTCCATGACTCGATCTCTGACTTCTCTTTCGCGGTCGCGATCCCTGTCGCGTTCTCGGTCACGATCCCAGTCACGCCTGCCATCCCGTGAGCGACTCCGCCGGCGAAAGGAGTCCCGATCGTCCAGGTACGGAACCCGACCGCGACCACGACCGACTTCCCAATCTCCCCGACCACGACCACGCATCGGGCCACCACGGGGGAGATGATTCGGACCAAGGGCAGGGCCATCCGGAGCATTCGACGAAACCGATACCAAGCTATCTCGTGAGCCACGCCGCATTCGAACAATATCCGAGTCGCGCCCTATGGGCTCTCTCATATCACGGAAGTCGCGCGGCGGAGGCGGAGGCGAACGGGAGCGACCACGGCCAAAACCGATCCGTGAATCTCGAGGATCGAAGTCTCGCTCGCGTCGGGGCCAGTCCCGGTCAATATCTCGACGAAAAGGCGGTGGTCCATCGCGAGGATCTCGAAAATCCCGGTCTCGTTCCCTGTCCCGATCCCGAGGGTCACGGTCGCGGTCGCGGAACTCAGCCCGACCAGGAAAGCCTCGACCTCGACCACCAAAGGGGGCTCCCCGTGGATGATCGATCAGGGCCTTGGGGCCGCGAGGTGGCTCTCTGCCCAATGGAGCCAAGTTCGCATCGTCGGAACCACGAGGGCCAGCGGGTGGGCGACGGTCACCAAAACGCTGGGGAGAACGGTCGCGGGAATTGAACCCAGATGATGGAGGATATCGTGAAGACATCACCAGGTCATAACTAAAGAGATTGGAAGAAGGTAACCTGGCAGGCAGCCTGCAGCAGGTTAGGTGTGAGGTTGTACAAAAGCCCGTGTCAGACTTTCAGTGATTCAAAGGGAGGCGAGAACAAGCCGAAATTGAAAACGACCCAATAATGACCAAGCGTGAGGCCTCAGGCCACTGAACAGGTGTGGGGAAGCACGTGATCGTAAAGAGCGTGCACACAGCACGGACCACCTTGAAATGTTTACGTAAACGTGCACCAGGCCGAATCGGGGCCGATCCCAGAAAAGGAGCAATCAGCAAATGTCCCACGATCGAGTGCTTAGCGGCAGCCACTGGAGGGGGGGCGCGGAATTAAATGTTTCAGATGTCTGGGTTAGCGATCGAGGCGTGGATCGGCCTCAACTCGAAAGGGCGTCAAGGGATGTCAAGAATGGTCCTCGAGTCACGATCCGCGAAATCTTTTTTCTGCACAAACCAAGTCAGTCAATGGTACCTTGCAACCACTGTATGTACCTCTGTAGCAGAATCAATATGCAGGACGATAATCCCAGAGCAGTTATCTGCCTGGCTCCCGTCCCTTCAAACTCAGCTGTCACCACGACGTGACCTCGCTGTTGAGTTGTCGAAGCAACCATCGACCACGTCGGGATTTAGGATGATCAAACGAACACCGAATCGAGGAGAAAAATGAACAGCAGCAAATGGTACGAGTAATGACAATAACAGGCGTTGTACCTTTCCACGTTTCCAGCAATCAGAATAGTGGTAGACAGCTGCAAGGAGTTGGGTTGCCCAAGACAAGAGGGACCTGCTTTGTAGATGAACTAAGACTTCTTCACTTGAGCTCGCTGATCATGAAAAATGGAGATGCAACATGCATTAGATCGCAAGGCAAAACAGACAAAGGACAAGGTTGAGACAGAAGGAGAAATTCGCAGGAGGAAAATCACCAGAGATGGAAACCATGGCCCAGCAGGATGCTCTCTGCCTTCAGCCTTGGACCTGGATCTGGGAACAATCAGTCCTGGTGCCTGAGGCCAGAACAGCCCACCCGTCTGTATGCCTCAGGCATCATCGAAATGTGATGAGTCGATCACGAACTGGATTGGAGCTAGTTCACAAACAGCTAGACTCTTCCAGACAGAGTTTCCTGAGGCATCCAAGCGCAACCTAGTTTTGGTGCCTGAAACAAAAGGATTGTTCCCCGCCATCCATGCTTAAAAAAAAAGTCACAGGTCGAAATACCCCTGCTAGAGCATAGATTCTAGCAACAACTCCGCATAACTTTCTATATTCTTTTCAAAGATGACTAACAATCACTCAGCGTCAGCAGAGGCTTTGCCCCCGTCATCTGCCACCAATGCCGTTCTTGTCGCCTCCGAACCCGTCCCTGAAGGTTCACACGAGGTCCGCGGCATCGACTTTGATCGTTTCCAAGGACGAGATATTACTGTTGCGGAAATGGTGGACAACATGGTGCATATGGGGTTTCAAGGAAGTGCTGTCGCGGAGGCTACACGCATCATCAATGACATGGTAAGATGAATTACTTCAGGTGCTATCTATGAGCGTGTGCTGATGTGGACAGCGGGCATATCGTCACCCCGAAACAGGAGAGAAAACCACGATATTCCTCGGATATACCTCTAACCTGATCTCTTCCGGGCTACGCGACACCATCCGTTATCTCGTCCGTCATCGCCATGTGTCCGCCATCGTTACCACAGCTGGAGGAGTCGAGGAGGATCTGATCAAGTGCCTGGCTCCCACATACATGGGTAGCTTCTCGACGCCAGGTGCCGGGCTGCGGGCTAAAGGACTCAACCGGATAGGGAACCTGGTCGTTCCGAACAGCAATTACTGCGCGTTTGAGGACTGGCTGATTCCCATTCTCGACAAGATGCTAGAGGAGCAGGAAGAGGCGAAGAAAAAGGCCCTCCAGACCGGGGACGAGGAGGATGAGCTACATTGGACACCTAGCCGCGTTATTGAACGCCTGGGTCGTGAGATTGACAATGAGGACTCCGTACTCTACTGGGCGGCGCGGAACAACATCCCGATTTTCTGCCCGGCACTCACAGATGGTTCGCTTGGAGACATGTTGTACTTCCATACCTATCGATCCTCCCCGCAGCGATTGCGTGTGGATATTGTCGACGATGTACGCCGTATCAACACGATGGCCGTGCGGGCAGCCCGTGCAGGAATGATCATTCTCGGAGGTGGTGTGATCAAACACCACATTGCTAATGCATGCTTGATGCGTAATGGTGCTGAACATGCAGTTTACATCAACACCGCTCAGGAATTTGATGGCAGCGACGCCGGGGCCCGGCCGGACGAAGCTGTCAGCTGGGGCAAAATTAAGGCTGATGCAAAGGCGGTTAAAGTGTATGCGGAAGCGACGGTGGTCTTCCCGATGATAGTGGCCGCCTCTTTTGCCCGGTCCAGCCCAACTCCATCGGCCGAACACTCGCACAACAACAACTGAGAAGACAATGACACATGAGGATGAAAGTCAGCGACTCAGGGATCCGATATTACCCCTCATCAGATCTTCATTAGACTCAATAATGCTCCTCTCCTGTTTCAACTCAGGGACCCTGCCTGGGTCGATCAGAGTTCCCCCGATAGGGCATTCTGACAGAAGAGGGCCCCACCACTTGAAGAATATCCGTCCACCCAAGGTCTTCTAGAAAACTTCGGCGGTGGCGAACCGTTCTTTTGTCCCATATGGTAGTCGAGCGGCATCGGCATGGAGAAAAGAAGGAACACCAGTGTCGACTATCGACTACCGAACCAGAGCATCGGATTAAATTTTTTTGAGGCGAAGTTGTGAGAAACTTGAGTCTGGTGGACGAATCACAAAAATTTTGAGTGTTGAATGCCAATGGGCTGTCCCACAGAATGATCGTCGTGCCCCGTTTGGATCATTCCAGGCGCTGGAGTTGATTGCTCCAATTGATTTGCCACAGCCCGGAAGGACGGGAGAAGACAGACAGGGCCAAGGGATAAGCGGAAGGGCAAAAGCAAAGCCGAAAGAATAGGGAAAAGTCTATTCCTACTGTACCGAGGAAGGCTGTAGGTACTGTGCCTATGTTCCTGATGAGGAGAACCACGAGTAGGGTAGGTAGACATAGAGATAGAGGCAGAGGCGGATAGAGGAGGCTAGGCCATCACCAACACATTAGGCAGTCATCGCATTTCCATTCGTTTCATTAATTAATTTCATTACCTATTGATCAATAAAGGACGACCAAGTCAGAGGCTGATCCGCCTTTCGCATCCTTAATGGTCAACGATCGGGGGGCTGTCTCCATCATTCGGCGGTGAGGGGAGAAACACGCTCTGCATTGCCGCCTCATTTTCTACAGGGAGCAGCTTCACGGGGTAGACTAAGGCATGGACATGGTATCCGTATACGGAGCTCTGTCGTGCTGTGGTCTCTTGGTTCGCCTTTTCTTTTTCTTTTTCTTTTTCTTTTTCCTCGTTTTGATCCTTTTTTCTTTTTATTAGCCTTCTTCACCTCCTTTTATCCTTTTCTCTTCTCTTTTCTTCTCGTCCCTTTCCTTTCCCTTCTTTCTCTTACCCCAACAAACCAACCCACTGATCGCCCTGATAAGCACCGCCTGCTCTCTCTTATCGGGAAATCATCTACCTATCTATCCCCCGGGCCTCTTACTCTGCATCTGACCTGTCCTTCTTTCTTTCTTGTTGTTGTTTTCATTGTCTTTCATTCTCTGGCTTCATACATATATTATCATTCACTTATCAGTGACCTGTGCATTGTATGCGTCGTTCCTCCATATAACCCTCTGACCTGCTAGAGACAGGACTTCAGTGCGTTTGTCGTCTTTATATGCTATATTCTGTCGATCTTTTGTTTCGATTATAGCCTCTTGCGTACATACGGATCTCACCCTCTTCCACGATGGATACTCGAATGGATACCGCGGTTACCGTGGAGCAGCTCCCCCCTGCCGTCACACTGAGTGTCGATGCTCCCTCGTCAGAAACAGTCACTGCTGGCGCAGAGCTTCCAGAGCCTGCCAGCGGAAACAACATTAACGAGATCCTTGCGAATACTCCGCTAGAGAATATCCATCCCCAGTCAGATGAACCATCAGATCCAACTCCTGCACCCGAACCGCCCCAACCTGAGCTCGAACATGCGTACTGGGCCGAGATTGAGGAGGACACATCGGTTCCTGATGAGGCGGAGATGAAGGAAATCGAGTCGACGGCGGATGGGGACTATAGTGCATACGAGTGTAGGTCTTCCTGCGAGTTTCTATGATTCGAGGACGAAAGCGGGTTGGAGATGCTGACCATCGCAGACGATTATTGGGAGAAGAACTTCCACCCAGATCTCGACGATCCAGAGTATCAGCCGGTTGAAAAAGGCCGCCTGACATGGAAGATCAAGGGCGTGCGAGGGACCAAAGACGCGCCCAACCGCAGCAAGATCATGCGTTCCCCTCCTGCTTTCATCGGCGGTTACTGGTGGACAATCAAGTTTTTCCCGCGTGGTAATAACGTGGGTTCCCTGAGCATCTACATCGAATGCTCCCCGACCTTGCCTCAGCCCGACAAGACATTGCCAGAGACCGAGTTCAAAGTGTTGCGGGGACCGGCCGATTCGGGGCTCAACACCGCCGCTCCCGAGGTGGACATGAAGTTTGCCCGGACCGACGACTCGGCAAGCTGGCTGGAGAATTTCACGGCACAGTACCCCGCTGCGGCTGCCAGCAAGCAAGATTCTCCAAAGGACACCTGGAGAGTATCGGCACAGATTGGTGTCATTTTGTACAACCCGGACGAGCCTCGTACGGGTTGGATGCAGTCCTCGTGCCACCAATTCAACCCGCACAATCTTGACTGGGGCTGGACTAATTTCCACGGCCCGTGGGACCAGATCCACCGCCGACAGCGGGGCCAGCGCCAGGCGCTACTCCGCAATGACACGCTTGCGTTCGATGCGTACATCCGCATTATTGACGACCCCACCCGGTCTCTGTGGTGGCATGCGAGCGATTCTGAACCGACTTGGGACAGCCTGGGCTTGACTGGCTACCGGCCGCTGGGTGATTCTGTCATCAATCACAGTGCCGAGGTTGCGGGACTGGCCTCATGGCTGCATCTAGCACCTCTGTGCAAGATAATCCAAAATGCCAAGGTCTTGGACCATCTCACAGACTGCGATGTCAAGCCCAAGCCGCTCTGCGATGCGCTACAGAAGTTCCTTTGGCGTCTTCGCTCTCGTGGTCAGTCCCTGCAATATGTGGATACGGACATTATCACTTCCATTCTGCGCAATCTGCATGAATACTCAGGTGATGTCTGTGAGTTCTGGGAGCGCCTGCGTCGGACCATCGAGTTTGAACTCTCGGACACCGATGCTCCGAAGGAGCTGGCCAAGATCTTTGACAGTCCCTCGCCTGACTCCCTTGCCGATTCCGGAGTGGATGCGGTAAACACCATCCCAAAGGACTTCAACTCACGCATTTGTGTGCCTGCCGAACAGGCCAAAACGATGCGCGAAGGGTTGAGCTGGTACTTGACGCAGAAACCCGGCCGTTGGGCATTGCCACCTGTTCTCCATGTCGAGCTGAACCGCCATAAATTGGACAAGGCGGCACGTCAGTGGCGCCTTGTCTACAACAAGGTTGACCTGGATGAGGAGTTGGATCTGACTCCCTACCTGGTTGACGGCCAGTGTGGAAACTATGTCCTCTATGGCTACATTGTCCACCGCGGACGGCGCACGTCGGGCAAATTCTTCAGCATTCTTCGTCCCGGTGGGCCCGGAACAAGATGGCTTGCATTCGATGACGGCAGCGATAATCGTGTTGAATGCCTCACACGCAAGACGGCCCTGGGGCCGCATCTGGGCCTGGATGAGTCTCAGAAAGTAGACCACAAGTCTGGTCATGATGTCGCCATCGCCGTCATGTATATACGAAGCGACGTTGTCGCAGAGTTCCTCCCTGGCCCTCAGGGTCCGTGGGACGTTTCGCCATCGCTGAAGGAGTATTATGAGACCGGCGTCTACCCTCTCTCCTCCGTGTCCGGGGGAAAGGCCGCAGAGAAGGAAATCCAAGTAGAGGTCTATGCTCCGCCGCAGTATGACCAGTTGCCTAGTCTGTTTGACTCCTACGATTTGATGTCGCAGGCCAAGGCGGCCAACAGGGTGATGTATATGACTGTTCCCCGCTCCGAGAATATTGTCGAGTTGCGCAAGAAGATCGCTCTCTGGGCCTCTGCGGCCAGCGAGACCCAGGCCAGTCCCGAGAATATCCGTCTGTGGCAGATTGGACATACTCGTGATCGATACGGGCCAACACTTGCGTTCGAGCGGATCTCGGATCTGAAATCGACCCTTGATCTACCTGTTCCAGTTGCTCGGCTGTGGATGCAGATTGTCTCTGATGGTAAGTCATTGTTTCAGATCGATAGTTGTGGGACACGACTAATGCATAAATCCATAGATGAGGCAAAGTACTTTGCCATCAGAGATCCCCGCGACACTGTAGTCGCTCAGCGCAAGGCTGAAGAGGCGGTAGTCGAACGCGCTGGTTCTGAATCTTCGGACGACAGACAATATACTCCTGAAGTCCGAAGCGGAGGGGCTGAGGCCAGCTCATCTGGTAACGTGACCGAAAGCGATCTCAGCAACGGTGACAGGGTGTCGGCTGTGGTCACGGAGAGCTCTGACCTGGAGACTTCCAACTCCCCTGCTGAGATTCAGCCCAGCAATGTGGGTGCTGAAAATGATGCGGCCATAGCGGCGATCATCGCACAGGATGTCCAGCAGATGGAAATCGAGCTCGCTGAGGAGGCTCAGGAATCACCCGCTCCGGCTGAGCAGTCCTCCGATGACGCTACTCAAAGCGAACCAGCACAGCAGCGAGCTGCTTCTCCAGCTCCCGAAACTGTGTCTACCACTTCGGAAGAGCCCGAAGTTCCGCTGCCCGTCGAGCACGTTTACTATTTCATTCAAATTTTCGACGTCGAGGCACAAGCATTGCGTACGGCGGGCTCATTCTTCTCCCGGAAGGAGGAGAAAGTCAAGACCGCTCTGCGGAAACACTTGAAGTGGCCGATGATGAAGGATTTCGCGATCTGGCAGCGGGTTGACGGTACCACTGTCACAACCATGTCCAGCGTGGGAACATTCGACACGTATGTGCCAGATGGGACCTGTTTTATTGTCGGTGACAAATTAAGCAAGGAGAAGTAGGTGTTCATAGTACTCACCCCGATATAGAGATCCAATCCTAACCTCATCGTTCTATAGGCGCACGGAACTCAGCGTTGCGGGTCTATTCTCCAGTCCTGATCGGCTGGTCCACTACCTCTTCGCAGCGGAGCGCAATCACCCAACTCGGGCCTTCACCGGCACCAAGACTGTCGATGCCTCCTTTAACAGCGAGTACTACAGCGGCGAATTCCTGAAGGGCTACTACCACGGCAAAGGCAAGCACATCTCCGACTCGGCCGCCACCTACGTCGGCGACTTTGTCTTCGGCAAGCGCCACGGCAGCGGTGCCATGGAGTACCCCACTGGGGATACCTACGATGGAGATTGGTACGAAGACCAGTGCCACGGGCAGGGCACCTTCGTCGAGAAGAAGACAGGCAATAAATATGTCGGCGGTTACAAGGACGGCAAACGACACGGCAAGGGCATCAGCTACTGGGAAGTCGCTGACGAAGAGATGGATCTGTGCCAGATCTGCTACAGTGAGGAGCAGGATGCCCTGTTCTATGACTGTGGCCATGTCTGTGCCTGTGTGACTTGTGCCCGCCAGGTCGATATCTGCCCTATCTGTCGGAAGAACATCATCAGCGTGGTCAAGATCTATAGAACGTGAGGGGAGCTGCGCTGCGCCTGCGAGACTGGACCGTGATGGTGTAGGTTGGGTGTTGGAGGCCAAGCGTGTTGATGGAGTTGATAAACATACATATTTCTTTTCCGTTGGAGACTGCAGCATACCCCGGGTGTTACGGAGAGAGAATTTGGAATTGGTGCCTTTGGAGTTACTTTGACGTTCAGATATCTGCTTATATGGTTTCTTACATGAATATATCACATTTATATGGATTCAGGACGAGTAAGAGGTAAACTACGTATCACAAGTTTGCTATCAACCGATCACAAATGGTATCATTATATTCTACCACAGCTATCTACGTCAAACCACAATGAATCAATCAACAATGATGCGCCGTCCGTACCTAAACATGAGATGATGCTTTTGGAATGATCAACGGAAGAAAAGAAAAAGACAAGATGCTACATTCCAGTACAGTCCGACTATTTGCCGGCTTTCGTTCCCGAACTACTGCTCGCTGCCTTCTTCTTGTTCTTCTTGCTGCTCTTGGCGTCGGAGTCCGCCTTGCTCTTGTCGGTCTTCTTGTCGGTCTTCTTGTCGGTATTCTTGTCGGCCTTCTTGTCGGCCTTCTTGTCGGCCTTCTTGTCAGATTTCTTCGAGTCCTTCTCGTCCTCGTTCTCAACGGTAGACTCCTTCTTGCTCTCCTCCTGTTTCGAGGCCTCCGCTTTCTCAGACGCAGATTTCTTGGGCTTGTTCAGAACAGCCTTGGGGTCGAGGCCCTTCCGGCGCAGACGGTTGCGCTCCGCACGAGCAATGCGCTCCTGATCCTCCTCTTCGTCGAAGGGGCCGAAGGCGCCGCCCTCGATGTCGAGGGTCGTGCCGTCCTCGTTCAGGATGGGCGTCTTGTCGACGACTTCGTCGTCGTCGGCCTTCTTGGTGGGTTTATTGGCGGCGGCGGCGGTGGGGGCGGTGCCGTCGGCGGAGGGCTTGGAGGTCGGGGTGGGCCCGGTCTTCTTGAGTTTGCAGACGAAGAAGCCGTCGACGTTCTCGCGGTGCGGGAAGTAGCGGCGGGTGAGGGTCATCTTGGGGTCGAACTTCTTGCCCATGTAGCTGGTGAAACCGGGGGAGCCGAAGTCGCCGAGGCCGGTGTCGACGAGCTTGACGTTGGGGCGTTTGCGGAGGACGTACTGCACGACTGCTTCGTTTTCTTCGACGGTGACGGAGCAGGTGGAGTAGACAATGTAGCCGCCTGTTTTCGAGGCGTGGTCGACCGAGTCGATGGCGGCGAGGAGGAGGTTGCGTTGCATGTGGGGGATGGCGAGGAAGTCGCGTTCATTCTTGGAGGTCTTGACGCTGGGGTCCTTGGAGATGACGCCTGTACCGGTGCAGGGGGCGTCGAGGAGGACGCGGTCGAAGCCGCCGAGGGCCTTGGGGAAGGCGGTCCGTGCGTCCAGGTTCGTCACGATCGTGTTCTTGCAGCCGAGACGGTGGATGTTACCGATCAGACCCTTGGCACGGGGCTTGCTGGCATCGTTGGCGATCACACAACCGGTGTTGCGCATCAGGGCCGAGATGTACGTCGTCTTACCACCGGGGGCGGCGGCCATATCGAGAACCCGCTCGTTGGGCTGTGGGGCCAGCGCCATCACGGGGAGGAAAGATGAGGCTGCCTGCAGGATGTAGTGACCCGCCAGGTACTCGGGAGTGGCACCGAGAGGCACCGCGGACTCGAAGACTTGCAGACCGACCTTGGACCACTTACCCACGGGCTCAAGGACCACACCTCGGTTGATGAGGGCTTGTGCCAAAGATCGTCGATTGGTACGCAGGGTGTTTGTACGGATGACGACTGGACGAGGAGTTTCGTTGGCCTCGAAGAAGGCGAACGCCTCCATAGGGGTGAAAAGGTTGAACAGCTTCTCCGCGAGGAATGGGGTGTAGCCGTAATAGGTGCAGATGTCGTCCAGGAGCAGTTGCAGGTAATCGGCGCGGGATTTGCCCGGTTGTCCGAGCGCCTTCAGGTCGCCCAAGATTCGAATGGTGTCTGTGATTCTCGTGCGAAGCAATTGGAGATCAGGGGCCAGACCAGGCTTGCCCTCGGCATCAGCAAAGACATCCGGGCGGTCGCCTGCAATGTTAGTCTGCATAGCAGACTCCTGTAACTCGCGCTGCGCCTCCTCCTCTTCCGCCTGTCTGGCCTCATCCAATTTCCGGGACAGTCCCTCGATATTGGCAGCTGTGAGCTTCTCCTCCGCATCGGACAGATCCTCGTCGTCGGAGAACATGGCCTCCCGTGGGTGGTCCTCTTCCTCTGAATCCATGACCGAGTCTTCGTCCTCTTCCTCCTCCTCCTCATCAGAATCAAGCTCCTCCTGACTATCCATAGATCCGTCACTGACGCCATCCAAGTCATCAAATTCATCCTCGCCCATCTCAATCTCATCCTCATCGAGATCCGACATATCTTCGTCGTCCGAGTCCATAAATGTAGGCTTCTCCTTCGCTGCAGGTTTGCTCTTGCTCTTCGCATCCTTCTTGCTCACAGCGGCAGTCTCAGCCTTGATTTCCTTTCCTTTAACCGCACCATTAACCTTCTTCTTAGGCACAGCCTTCAGAACCTCTTCTTCATCTTCGGCCCTCCTCCGCTTCTTGCCCGACTCTGCCTTTGATTCGACATCTCCCGCCTTGCGCTTTTTGTACAGGGTGATTTTCGACTCGTCCAGCGGGGCCGGAGGGCCCTGCTTCTTCATACGGCGACCCTTTCCCATTGCGACAAATTGTGTGGTGCAAGGTAGAAATTGTGGTTTTGCTAATATGTCACTATCATGGAAAGCCAAACTTTTTTTCTTTTGCTTCTTCTTTTTTCAGGCGGTCAACGCTGGCAGATCCTTTCCGGAAGGCGGTCAATTAGACTTAGTGGCCTGAGGCATTAATATCCGACCGTGGGGTTCTGGCCTCACGAGCTCCCGATTGGGTAATGAGCACAATTGATCGATCGACTGTGACGACAACCCTCCATCTCACGTCCTTTCATACCTACCGAAGCAAACAACAACTACCCATTCCAATCATTCTGGGACCACCATCACCATCATCATGAACGAAGTATCATTCGTCAAGTCTTTTCTCTCAGCACTCGACTCTCGACCCATCAAGCTCCGCTCCGACCATGTCTTCGACCCAGCGCAAGTCGGACTACGTGTCCCAGTACGTCCCCCTCATATCCCATATGGCTCAGCCATATACTAGGGCCATGTACTAACCAACACAGTATACCCTCCCCCGCCTGAACGCAGCCCACCCCGAAATGCCCAAGAAGACCAAACAACCGCTCGCCCCGGGCTCCTCAAAATCCATAACCGTGCACCTCAAATCAGCCCGCAACCCGGCCCTCGAATTCTCTCTCCCCAACACCGCCCTCGCCACGACCTCCGTACAGGATCTCAAGGACGCCGTGCGCGAGCGCGTAACAGACGCCCAGGGCAACAAAGTCTCCCTCGACAAGATCAAGATCCTGTACAAGCGCAAACCCGTAACGGGGAAGACCATCGCGGAGGTTCTTGCTGATGAGCCGGGGATGCTATCTGGTGGGAAGGAGGTCGAGTTCGGCGTTATGATCATGGGCGGGGCGCAGGTTGCGCCGAGTGCGGGGGCGGGTGAAGGGGCAGGTGCTGAGCAGAGGGAGAGTTATGAGCCTCCCAAGCCGGCTGTTGGGCCTAGTGGGGAGAGTGTTGTGGCGACGGAGGCTTTCTGGGATGATTTACAGGGCTTCTTGGAGCAGAGATTGAAGGACTACGATGAGGCGAATAAGTTGAGGGTGCTTTTCAAGGAAGCTTGGAGGTCGAGTCTCTAGGAGTTTCGATGGTGCTGTAGATAGTCTTCTTATATGATACCTTTTATTGATCCGTTCTGTGCTTCCCCGGAGTGGACTGGCTCCGGATTGAGATTAGATGCGTGACAGTGCTCTCGTTGAAAGTATACTACGAGCGTTGCCTTGTAGTTCACACGCTGCATGGAGCATAAGGTCAATACAGAAATCAAGTCTATTCAATGTGCTAGAATTTGATACCAAGTTCAAGGTACAGAAGCTGGGGCAGTGGTATAGGAACTAATTGTTATACATAAACATATACGCATAGAAGCCAAAAGGAAGGCATACTTGAGCATGCCTTCAAGGGAGACAGGAGAATTTGAAATTGCGAAATGGATACAGGCTAGGATTATTCCCAGAACCCATCTCACACGGTATCTCGAGGCCAAGCGGCCACACATCATGTAGGGAGAAAATGGAGGCGAACAGAAATCGAAGTCCAGCTGCAAGCTGTCGGGCTTGAATGTCGTGGTAATTTAACACCATCAATAACAAATCGTCAAAAGCTTCCATTTGGGGAGTGAGAAAAGGCGAACAGCCGCAACCTGGAGGCGGAGCCAAAATGACCATTTCGAAAGAGGAGCTCGTGCATGCAAGTAGGATGGCCGAAGAACGAAAATGCCAAAGGAGCTATAACACAACACTAGAAAGGAACAAATGCCAGGTAATTTGACACCATTGCAAATGCTCAAGAACTGACCAAGCGCTCATTCAGGAAGAGTTAGCCTAACGAAATGATCGGCGGACAACATCAGACTTCATGCATGGACAAGCAGAATCCGTCGTTATCTTGAGAAGACCTTGACAACCCCATCTCCTCCACCACTGACGACCCAGCGGCCGTCGCGGCTCCAGGTGACGGCACACACCCCCTCACCGCGCATCAATCGGTGGCTTGTAATCTCTTGGGTACAGCTACGTTTCTCAAGGTTCCAGAACCGTAAGCTGGCGTCATGCCCAGCGGACACTAGTTCACGTCCATCAGGAGATAAGGAAAGTGCAGCAATAGCCGCGGGATGGGCCAGCATCGTGTATGTGCATTGGCCTACAACAGGGCAAGAAAATGTCAGTGCTTCCATTCAAAAACAGCCGTGGGTAGCAGAGTACGTACCGCTATTGGCGTCGAAGAGACGGATATATCTGTCTTCGTATCCACTTATGATCACCCCTTCCACGGCACTGGAGCCGGTAGCTCCGTGCACAACTTCTTCATCAGCCAACGTCCGACTAGGATCGAGGCCTGCAGACCCATCAAAGCCAATAGTGGTTGCAACGACAGAGTTGACTCCCGTTGAGGGAGTGCCATCGTAGGTTTCCAAGCTCGCCATGCCCACAATCTCCTCGCCGGTTCTCGTGTCATATACAAGGATCGAAGCATCCGTGTATGAAACGACGAAATTGACACCTGCAAGAGACAGAGGGCTGATACAAGTTGGTGAGGGAGAGTCGGCCCGAAGTATATGATGGACGAGGGTATAGTGGAAAGGCGTGGTGGTAGCGGTGCTAGGTTGAGGCGAAGATGGGAAATTAGACCCAGATGATATCGAGTTAGCGCGCCGACTTCCACCAGCTCGCCTAGAACCGGCTTGTGGTGATGATAGCTGGGGAGGTGCACTGACAGCCCAGATCAATATCCGCCCATCGGCAGCGCCCGACGCCAGCAAGATGCGATCTGGACCTCCGTAGTGACTGGATGAATCCCCAAACACAGTACCAGCCGTGCCAGGAAGAACGCAAAGGCCCCAAACAGCATCGGTGTGGCCGTCAAGTGTGGCCTTGGGATCAACCCGTCCGCGTTCCCAAACACGCACGCTGGCATCCTGTCCACCGGAGAATACCCATCCGTCACCCAGGGCACGGCCGCCATTTGAGAAATTTTGGGACGGGGAGCACGCAGCCAGTGCAGTTACTGCTCCAACATGACCCCGATGGGTGAAGTAACTCGTTATATCCAGATCGTTGCCGGAGTTCCCTCCGTGCGACCCATAGTGCCCGTATGATGCTGGTATGATCCATCTTTTGATCGTCCCATCATCACTGCACGTGCAAATCTCGGGTTCGGAGGGGCTACCACCGCCCGTGAAGATCACTGAGCGGATAACATCCAGGTGGCCGCGGAGTGCGAATCGAACTTTGAAAATAGGATCCTGTTTCTGCATTGCTCCCGCACCGACATCTATGGCACCTTCGCTCTTACGTTTGGAGCCAGAGCTCTTCCTTCGATGCGATACTGATCCACCCCGTGAGGGGGACTTCGACCCGGCGAAGTTCGCGTTGGGAAAGGCATCCACGTCTGGTCGGTGAGGTGGGATGTGGGCAGTCCGGGACTCCTGAGCCGGGGTTTCATCAAAGTTCCACCCGTCTGTATCTTGTAATTGATCTTCCGCCTGCTGGGATTGAGCCTCCTCCTTAGCATCTGCCTGTGTGTTATCGTACTGTTGCTTTGCAGGACCAGCGCGCTCATCCGCTAGGCCTGACTCAAACGCCTGCTTTCTGCTGTCAATAGCAGTAGCGGGGGTCTGCTGTGCCTCCAACGGTCTTTTGTCCATGAAATCTCGCGCCACAGGGGGGAGGAATTGATTGGGAGCGCGAGACAAGTTGGAATTGTCCGAATAATGAGTCACAATAGGCTGGTGATTTTGTAGTGCTACTTCGCGCGCCATCATGTGATTTGCCTGCTGTTGCTTTTGGCGCTGCTGCTGAATGTAGGCTTCCTCTATACTCTGCTGAGGCATGTTGTGGTTCGCGTACATATGGTTCGAGAGTTCCAGGTCATTTACATCGGGAGCAGGATGCGACGTAGGGATAACGTGAAATGCAACCTCTTGCGAGCATTTTGACAGGTACAGACGCGACTTCTCCCGTTCGTTCTCCTGTCGGACGCCAGGTTGGTGGTCGGTGTCAACATCGGTGGTGAGATCGGCCTGGGATTTGGACCGTTGCGCTGCAGACAAGTCAGCAATCCACCAACACCGGGGATTTTACGAGTTGGTATCGTACACTTCAATTCGTTGATGCTCTCCCGGGCGATCTCCTTGGAGTCCCTCGTATCCTCGATCGGTTCATTATTGCTCAGCTTCTTCACCTTCTCACGCTCTTTCTTCAGAGCAGCCTCAAGCAGCCTCACATGCTTGCCCAATGACTCGTGCAGCCGCTTGCTTGTTCGTACATCACCTTCTAATCTGCCGATCCGAGACCGCATCTCCGCGCGCTCTATCTCCCAGGCATTGCGATCTCGCTCGTGCCGATGCCATTCCGTCTGCAGAAAGCGCATCACACCTATCGCAGAGGGAAGAATAGTTAGCTTCAAGAAACACTGATACCAAGGCCAGAGTCTCCATGCACCCACCTTGTAATGTATACTCCGTCCCATGAGGTTGTCCGCCATTCGACGACCCATCAGCCCCAGGCCCGATGTACCCTCCACCCCCAGCCATGGCCGAGGGAGACTGCCAAGCCATGCGAAATCAACAAGCGACAGAATTTAAATAAATTCAGGGCAAGCGGCAGAGCTGTTTAAGCTTCTGCGTCCCCAGTTGTGACAAGAAATGACGCCGATTGTGGAGAGCTTTCGTGGCCGCAATGCTGCAAGTTTGTTGATGTAAGCAACCCCCAATCTCAACGGGTGACAACGGCAGGAAACCACGTTCCAGGCCGTGTCAGCACCGGGTGGAGAACAATAATTATTATGACTCCGTCAACGGAAGGGTATGGATCACCGAAAGGAGAAAAGGAGGATGGTCGCTGTATGCTGTCGAAGCTGGACTGGCAGCTGGCGCGCGTTAGGTTCTCCTCGCTGAGGTCGGGGAAAGTCACCGCACCGCCGCTGCTGGACTTTTGTTGGCTCCCGTAGACGCACAACTCGCCCCGTCTAACCGCCTTTAGCGCTGGGGTAGTCTGGCTCCCAACCTCGTCCTAGCATTGATTATATAGACTGACATTCAATGGACTTACCTGTCATGGTGGTCCATTATTCGCTGCTGTGTTCTTCTGGCTATATAGTTACAGATGTTGCGACAAACGTGGCAGCAGATCGACTACATTGTGGTTGTTGACCTCGGAAAACTGTCATTACGGTGAGAAGACCGCGGACCCTTCCAAAGGCTCCGTCTGTCATTTTGACTTCGTTGTAAATCATTAATATCGAGATGGATGCTATCTGATGAAGCATCAGAATTCCAGTTCCTCAATCTCCATGCCACAGTCAACACATTTCTTGACCCCTATACCCGTCTCAGGATCCTCCACAGATCGGCCCCATTGATGTACATGTCGACCACCTTTCCCCAGATCATCGCCGAAATTTCCTCCAGCTGCACCTTGACGATTCCGTCGGTATGCTTCAACTCTGGTGCGCTTCTTGAGATCTTGCAACTTGGTCTTGAATTTCGCCTCCCGCCGCCTCTTCTTCTCATTCTCTCGTCGTTCAAATTCGGCATCTAACGCTTCTGGAGACCCCCATTTCTTTGAGGAGAATGCGTATTCCTCAACTTGGTATCGTAGATAGAGCATCATGTTATTCCAAGTCGACTTATGAGGATTCGGTCGCTCCAGGTGTGGTAAAAGCTCTTCGTCGCGGAGTTCGGCTGCGAGAAGCGCGGTGTCAGTGATCCATCTTTGATATAAAACGCGTTCGAGGATAGACTCACGATCGGTCAACAGATAATCTTCCTTCGCTTCCGTCTTCGTCAGAAGACTGTACTTCTCTGGGTACTTCTCCTTGCAAGCATGGCATACACAGCATCGGAGTAGCTCCTCCCACTTCCAGTCAATCTCAACACTCCCACATTCCCGGCACTTTTTCTGCTTGCTTTTATCCTCTAGTACACTCAGTCCGGGTTCAAACGGCCCTGCTCGCTCGCGGCGAAGGGAGTCGAGCAGCTGTTGTCGTTCCCATTCTTTCTGCGTCATATGCGCAGGTTTCTGATCCTCCTTCCCATCTCGGACATTCAACGCCTTGTTGTATGGATCATCCTCTTGAG